TCGCGCGGCCGTTGGAATATAATCCTCTTCAGCTCCCGGTCTACGGTTCCAGTCATGTCTGTTATTGACCCGACCACTCCCGGGATGAAACAACCGTCCCCACGTCTAGCGAGGGTCTGCCATTTCAATTGCAAAGAACTTCAGACGACATTATTTCGTGTCCTCTCCCCCGCCCCTCCCTGCCGAACCCCCATCCAGACAGAAAACTGCAACTTGCTTACTCTAAGATCTAATCGTGTGTGCACGGACAGTGCCTCGAGGACGTCGCCAGAGAAAAAAATCTTTATGGGTGACTTTGATCCCTGGGGGAAAGCTTTCAAGATAGCGCAACATGGTTCCACGCCAAATGAAAATCGCACTTAGTCGTGGGGATAATGTTATTTTTACAGCTATTTCAAAAGTGTAGAAAGAAGCTGTTGAATCATGTACTTTATGCACACATACACTCTTCATCACTTTTTCTATATTTATATATATATATATATATATATATATATATATATATATATATATATATATATATATATATATATATATAGCCACACACGAAACTAGTGGATTTATTTTACAAAGATCTGTCTCAAAAGTAAAGCATCACTGTTACAAAACACAGTATAGCAAGACGATTTACCAAAATAACATGTGCATAATTTCCTTTCTTTAAATCTCATAATGCTCGCAGATAACAGCGCTACGACTCGACCACAACCAAAGTGCATTTATGGCCTTCAGACGTTTTCAATTTTTAAAAACAATTGCGTGACAGGATTAGCGTCAACAAGTGTCCAACTTAAACGGTTGGGTAAAAAAAAAAAAATTCCGCTTGCGATTTTTGAATTCCCATGGAACCTCGGTTGCAACCAGGTGTCGCTGGTTCCCTGTCTAACCTTACCGCAATAAGACACGGGCAGGTAACGTTGGAATGTCTCCCTGCGCTGGGGGGCGGAGTTTTCCCACACTCCAAATTCGGACATGGCGCGTGCCGGGGACAGGCACGTGACCGGAAATCAGCCGGTTCTGTGACGTAAAAGACACGTTCCACGGCGTCGACGGCCAATGGCGAAGGGGAACGGCGCGGAACGGGGCGGAGCCTGGTCGCGTCGCGCGAGACATATGGGCTTTGATTGACGTAAGAATGTGGTCACACGACAAATATTCGCGACAATCGTCTTTTCGTTATTCGGTTCGCTCCGCGAGCCCCCAGCGGGCCTGGGACGTGTCTGGTCTTGCTGCGCCCCCCCCCCCCCCTCACTCCCCCTACCCACGCCCTACCACGGCCCAGTTTTTTTGTGTGTAGATTAATGCCATACCTATTCAATATACGTAAACAACGTTTTACTACTTCCTGACGTCGCAGCGAATTCCAAGAAAGGGACATTTTTTATTATTTAAAACTCCTGTCACAACTTGTTCTGTTACCATTTCACACAACTTTCTGTTATAATGTTGACCATTTCACACAACTTTCTGTTATAATGTTGACCATTTCACACAACTTTCTGTTATAATGTTGACCATTACACACAACTTTCTGTTATAATGTTGACCATTACACACAACTTTCTGTTATAATGTTGACCATTTCACACAACTTTCTGTTATAATGTTGACCATTACACACAACTTTCTGTTATAATGTTGACCATTACACACAACTTTCTGTTATAATGTTGACCATTACACACAACTTTCTGTTATAATGTTGACCATTTCACACAACTTTCTGTTATAATGTTGACCATTACACACAACTTTCTGTTATAATGTTGACCATTACACACAACTTTCTGTTATAATGTTGACCATTACACACAACTTTCTGTTATAATGTTGACCATTTCACACAACTTTCTGTTATAATGTTGACCATTACACACAACTTTCTGTTATAATGTTGACCATTACACACAACTTTCTGTTATAATGTTGACCATTTCACACAACTTTCTGTTATAATGTTGACCATTACACACAACTTTCTGTTATAATGTTGACCATTACACACAACTTTCTGTTATAATGTTGACCATTTCACACAACTTTCTGTTATAATGTTGACCATTACACACAACTTTCTGTTATAATGTTGGCCATTACACACAACTTTCTGTTATAATGTTGACCATTTCACACAACTTTCTGTTATAATGTTGACCATTACACACAACTTTCTGTTATAATGTTGACCATTACACACAACTTTCTGTTATAATGTTGACCATTTCACACAACTTTCTGTTATAATGTTGACCATTACACACAACTTTCTGTTATAATGTTGACCATTACACACAACTTTCTGTTATAATGTTGACCATTTCACACAACTTTCTGTTATAATGTTGACCATTACACACAACTTTCTGTTATAATGTTGACCATTACACACAACTTTCTGTTATAATGTTGACCATTTCACACAACTTTCTGTTATAATGTAGACCATTTCACATAGCTTTTCAGTTATTATATTTACAATTACACATAACATAAATGTTACTATGTAACCATTTCATATAATTTATGTTATTTTATTGATCATTGCAAGTAACTTCTCTGTTACACATTTATTACGTAAAGGTTTCTATATAACTATAATGGCTATTACATGTTAATTTTAACCATAGTGACCATTACATGTAATTTTTTTAATGTAAACTACAGTTAAGCACTCACTATATCAATAAAGGTTGTCGATGTTTTACCTCCCTTACCATAGGTCAACAGGGTTGCTTCCCCTGTGTGTTGAGTGCTAGACTACACTAAATGTATATAATTAAAAAAAAGGAAAAGAAAGCCGCACAGAAGATTAGAAGCCGCAGAGTTTACATATTTCATGACACTTGTTGATATGGAGGGGGGGGGGGGTCTACAACTGACAACTCTATGTAACCCCCCCCCCCCCCTCTAACAACAACAAAAAATCTCTTTTCGGTGGAGTTTCTTTCATTTTTTCCACCACTCGTTAGGTTGTTGATTTGATGGCCTTCTGTGGTGTAGAGAGTTAACTCCACCTTTCTGTGGGTTCTTGCAAGTACTGGGATCTGACATAGACACTGTGTATTAGTTCTGTCTATCTTGGCGGATTGCACTTAGTACTTACGTGCCCCTAACGAACATTGCATTTTACGCATACATACCCTAACGAACATTACACTTTGCATATACATGCCCTAACGAACATTACACTTTGCATATACATGCCCTAACGAACATTACACTTTGCACATTCGTGCCCTCTCGAACATAATTAGAAAAATAAAAATGGTAGCAATGTGGGATGCCATAAATCCAATTAACCGCCTTTTCTGTACTTTGTGCAGTTACCTACACACCCTTGTTTTGTTATATGGTTCAGATTTTTCTCCTAACATAACAATTGACTGTATAGAAAGCAAATGCAGTATGTCTACTTCCTTGTGAAATCCACCGTGGAATCAATGTTCTTTTTTTTTTACTTATGTTGGAAATAATCCTAACTAGAAATGAACACATGTAAATGTCAGATGACTAAAATACAGATCTTTTAAAAATGTACTTTGTACTATTTTAAAATTGGAATAAGATTTGAAAACCAAATTTTCTCGAAAGCTAGTATTTTGGACATCTGTGGTTTTCTTCTATGCAGTCGTATTGTCTTAAGAATTATTTTATCTATCCTTAATCTTTACCCCCCTCCCCTCCCTTAACGTACCAATACTTCATTAGGCCATATCTACAAACCCCTACCCATATACATTAACCCCCACCCTCCTCCCACTCCAAATGTCGTTCGCCACTTGCACCCCCGCCCTCCCCGCCCGCAGTAGGTCACCTGTCTTATGTTAACCGGTCCTGACTCGCTTCTCCAAGGGGGAAAACTCTACACGTCGTGGCGTTTAGGGGTTATTGATAGTAAGTCTGGAGTGGAGGCTAGTTTGTTAGGGAGAGCCGTGACGTCGCTGTCACCGCCTCAGTCCGCTAAAACCGCTGGTGGGTACGGATATCCCATGCTCTGGCGTTGACTAAAGAACCGTTGTTTTATGCGCGTAAAGAGAAATTTGTTTTTATGAATAAATTATCGCGTTTAAATTTTTTTCGTCGAAAAATTTATTAACTTTGGACTTTTAAAAAAAGTTTTGTTAGTTTTTAATATTAAAAGGAACTTGTGTTGAAAAAAGAACACATTTGACCTAGATTTTGTTTAATTTTATTTTTAGTTTGTTTTCTTGCATGGGAACTCTAACTTCATTTCTTGACGCATGTGGATGCTTTTTGCGTTGAATCCATTAATTAACCTCAATTTTAATTTAAAATTGAAAACTTTCGAGTTAGTAATTATGTTAAGGTTTAAAAAAAAACCCTAAGCCGTTTAAAATAGTGTGGAAAATATAATTTGTATTATTTTTTAAAGTTATAATAAAAATAACTTTGAAGCATTCATTCACTTGGATTTTAACAGATTCTACTAATTTCAAATTGGAGTGAATTTGAAATATTAAACTTGGCGCTTCATAGACGATGATTCAATGTGGCAATTCCGATTTTGTTTTTCGAGAAAATGAAATTTGAAAACACTAGCGAATAAAATTGTATTAAAAACAGATATATAATAATATGGAGATTTATGGGTGTTTTTATGATTAGAAAAGTTGAACCAAAAAGATTTAGCGCTTGGAAAATTAGTCGCGTAGCTTTTAAATTCGTTATGTCATAGCACGTGACTTTGGCTATTAATAGAAAGCCTAATTATATCTTTGTGTGAAGGGTTGACTGTGTATTCCTATTTGTGGACCGTGTTTCTTCTATAGTTTTGATCGTTCTTTTGTTCCCAAGGCAGGAAAAGTGCATGTTTGTCAACAAGAATTTAAATTTAGTGACACTGCATCAACATCTGCGTTTGTGAATTAAAAAAAAAGAATACGGAGGACGATGGTCGTGACGTCATGACCCAAAATAAACATATCTGTTGAACAAAACATCAGAAGGCAGATCCACAATTCCTTTTGACCTATTTTCAGTCAAACAAAGAAGGAGGAAATAGGGAAGCAGAACTGGAAGATTCGGCGCCAAAATGTTCCATCGTGTACAAGCACACGCCTGCTGCTCTGCTAGTGCTTAGATCTGCTGGCACTCTTTTCGATTGTTCATCGGGAAATCGCGAGACAGACGAGGGGGAAAAAAAAGAAGTTTTTCAAGTGAAAGCAAGGGCACTTCTGCTTGGGGCCTAGTCGTCGTGTCGTCAACGGTGACGTAGGTTAGGTCCGCCCTCCTCGCGTCTCGAGTCGTCCCGCCCCGGCGGCACGCGCTGCTCACGTGACAGGTCAGACCGAGGCGGTGTTCGCCAGACCAGACACCGTTCGAGCTGGGCCGTTAGTCGTCTGATCGGGTTCTGCTCACAATCGGGCAAGCTGGATAGCAAGATCAACAATGACCGAGTTTCAACCACGGCCTCAGAGAGTCGAAAGGTAAGAGACCCTTGTACTGACTGTCTGGTCAGTTGGCACTTGATTTTTTTTATCTCCTAGGTCTCGTTGATAAGTAGTTTATAATTAGCCTAGATGTGTAGATACCCCAATCAGTATAGTACTATACACGTACTACGCCGTACTTATATTTAACTTATATCATTTACTTGTACAGTATTTATAAAAAGAATAGTTTTTGTTTACCTCTTATTCACTGGGCTGATATATAGAGTCTACATTTGGTTTTGTTAAATTTAATTCATAAAATTTAGAACAAATCTATTGTTTTAAATATTGAAGATGAAGTTAAAATTGTGTAGCTTCCCATCCTACAGTGTACACATGCACATCCCCACCCTAAGTTGTAGAAACTCTTTGCTGTCACATTGGATGCTTGACACCATTACTGTCACATTTGATGTGTGACGCCATATAATTGTCACCTTTCAGGCCTGACACCATCTACTGACACCATTTAGGTGTGACAACATCTGCTGTCATGGCCCAACAGTGCACATTTTTTGTTACACCACCTGTTGTCACCTTTCAGGTGTGACACCATCTGTTGTCACCTTGGAGGTATGACACTATCTGCTGTTATGACCTAATAGTTCACTTTTGTCACACCACCTGTTGTCACCTTTAATGCATGACACCACCTGTTGTCACCTTTGAGGCCTGACACCATCTGCTCGCGTCAATATTAAAATGAGATAACATGTATATTACTAGGTCACTGTACACCCTACAAGATGTATTGCACGATATATTGTGTACCGTTATAAACGCGGATATATTTAATTTTTAAAATGCATGAAATAATTCTTCTTATTTATAATTATAACTTTTCTTATTATTGTAGTTTTAGAGGATAAGAAAATAATTAAATATAAAATACTAATTGCAGGATTGCACCTAAACGAGTAAAATTTTTGGAAATTTTTCTTGACGATGAAAGATACTTTAGGGCACCAAATAGCACCTCACTCATGATCAAAACTTTCTGTAATGTTAGTGATTAACATAAATACCACATGTTTCACTGATGTTATTCGGTGCGCTTGTATGACCTGGGAAATGATCTTCACTTTAAATTAGATACCTTTCTTGACCTTCAAAGTTGAAATTCTCTTTAGTGAAAATGTCTTTGAAATGTGTCTTCGCTCAAACGTCAATGTTTATGTCTTCGCAAAAAAAAAAAAAAAAAAAAAAAAAAAAAACTGTCTTTGAGTCTTTGAATGTTTTCACGAAAACGTTTCTGTGAATATACCAAGCAAAATGTCCCGCTCTTTTTCAATGTAGATCTGGCAACAACATAGAAATGTCCACTTGATTTAAAGTTGAGGCTGATGTTTCTTAAGGTTGAAGTTGATGTTAACTAAAGTTGAGTTTGATGTTTCCTAAGGCTGATTCTGAAGTTTCTTTAAGGTTGAGGGTGATGTTGATAAAGATTGATGTTTTTAAGGTTGAGGTTGATGTTTTCTGATGTTTATGTTCATATGAGGAGTTAAGTTTGGAGTTTGTGTTTGTATATGTTGATGTTAAAACGGTTATATTGATTGAGTTAAGATTGAGATTTATGGTGCAAACTGAGATACAGGCTAAAATTTTATTTTACAGCAAAGTTTGAGAACATTGTTTTTATGTTGAGATAATTTTGAGGTTGTTTTGTGTTTTTATAACCAAAGTTGGTTTAGATTTATGTTTGTATTTAGTATTAAGGTTTTAATTTATGTATTTATGTTGAGTTTCAGATTGATAACTTTTTTTTAATGGAGCAAAAGTAGATTTGGATTACAATGTTCAGATATGGTTTGAGGACAATTTTTAAAATGTGGGTTAATTTACATACTAAATTGAAATAGTCTGACTTTTAGTATATAGATCTAGTGCCAAATGTAACAGGTTTTCAGTATTTGTATTTACTCTTATTAGCTTTTTCACTTTTGATATTTGGTTCCATTAGTGTCTAATTTTATTCTTTCCGGTGTTATGTACACTAATCTCTTGGTAATTAGGTTTTAGTAACTGGCTTGATTGATTTATGGCATTTAGTACCTGGTTATATGGCATTCTAAGGGTATTTGAATTTTAGAACATTTTGATATATAACGTTTTTAGTGTCTGACTCTTTTAGTACCTAATTCTATTGTGTGCTGATTTGGTATACAGTTCTCCTGGTATAATTTTGTGTGTAGCTTAGATCTTACTAGATAACTCAGCTTATCTGTATCGGATAGTGTTAGTGAGTCAAAACATATTATACAAATTTGTTAAATTTATGGGGACGGCGTAGTCGGGTGGAAGAGCGAATGATTGCTCACTCCTTCTTCTTCGTTCTTAATTCTAGTGTTCGGAGGGATCCCCTCTAACACAACTAAGTATACGTGTCAACTTGTTATGTGCCATTGAGGCCATTGACTCCAATTTCAGCCTGATTTTCTTTTTGGATTTGCTGCCATAGCCTTTTCCAACAAAGAACATACCACAAGGCAGCAATTGTTTGATTTTGGAGTTGTCTCTCCTAAAAGAGTGGTTGTCCCCAGCTAACGAGCCTTATGTGCCCTTGGAGTTCCAACTCGAGACTTTTCGTTTAGCAATCATGAGCTTTACCGACTCGACCACGCCGTCCCTGTTTGCTAACTCCAAAAGTCCCGAGTTTGGAGTAGTCCGGACTCCTAGGCAAGCGAGACACGTTCGCTGTAAAAAGCAACCCATCTAGGTGAGAAAACTCTAAAATCAAACTTCTGCTGTCTTGAAGATTGTTCTTGCGTGAACAAAGGCAATAAAAATCAAACTTGTAGTTAGAGTCAACGGGTCATATGGTCATGTTAACACGTAATGCTTAATTTGTGCTGGAAGTTTCTCCTCCAATATTACAGATAAGAACGAAGAAGAAGAGGGTAAAATCTATACATTGAACACGTTATTTCATTAGCGGCGTGCCGCGTAGTGTAATCAAATTCCGTGCCCTTTATCAGGGGTATCGTAATAAACCATTTGGGCGATCTCAACTGAGCGAGGTGGGCCCGTTTTAACGCCATAAGAAATAAATTGATCATAAACTAACGATGGGACGTCGCACATGAAAGCAGCGGCCCCCCACGATTCTAACGGCCCCATCTTAGAGATAAGTCCCCTTTTTGAGCACAGGGGATTAGGGTCTATACATTTTAATCGCATGCCTTATTTTCTTATTACTTAAAAAAAAAAAAAACTTGCTTCGAAAATTTGTTATGAAAATCTGCTTTGAAGTATATCATAATGTTATGACTGTTTTGCCCTTTATGCAACATGTGCAGAAATGGGGTCATCCATTTATGACGTCCACAATTTTTTTGGATTTTGGGTTGGACCCCTCCTCCCCCCCCCCCCCCCCCCCCCCCCGTCCACAAAAATCCACTTTTTTCCTTATACAAGTCCATATGCTTCTACAAAAGTCAGTTTTTTCGGACCCCCCCCCCCGCACGTGGACGTCATAAATGGATGACCTCAAACAGTATGTAGCTTTATGTTATTGATAGAAACATATAAGTATATCATGTTTCTCGCCCCCCCCCCCCCCACACACACATCCCGCCCAAACCCACCCCACATCACACAAAGATTAAAGAATTGATTTTCTATACCGCCGATAGCATACTTAAATTTACGACTGAATTTCTCCGAGCATATTTAACATATGAAAGCCATTTTATACATCTGTATCAGTCGTGGTGTCACCTTTGAGTTCACCTGTGGGCCTTTTACCTGCAGAAGTCGGTAGTTCTGCTAAAAGGACACTGTTGCTTCTGTCCTACACTAGCGGCTGAAGACATGCACTTTAAAACTGGTGTTCTGAAGATTTGTAAGCACCAGGAATGCCTCGTTTCACTCAAGGTCTGACCGGCGTATCAGTGCTTGTTTCTATGCGCATATTATGTCATTTGAGAAGAAATCTCATGGTCGTAATGGGGCGTGGGTTTCCTAAACTAAATTATCGCACATACAAGAAACCACAGATGAGGGGTGGGTATTTGGATTGGTTGGGGGTGGGGGTAGGGTTGAGGAAGCTAGTTGTTTTTCTATTCGTTTTCTGTGAAAACCAGTTGACACATGCGCACTAAAGTATTTTTATTTTAGTCAGGAAGTACCTGTGATTTATTGGAAAGTCAGATATTTATCTTGACATTTGGTCAAGCTATGTCTTACAACAGGGTTATACGTTGAATGATTTTGTCAGTGTAATCATTCATTGTTTGTGAGACACTCCTGCTTCATGTAATGATAAAGAACATTTTCGCAAAAACACACATACGCGCGCGCACACATACACACAAACACGCACACACATACGAAGTGGCACAGACACACACGCACGCACTGCCACAGACACACTCACTAAAACAGACACGCGCACGCATGAACACACATACAAACAAACACGCACACACATACAAACTGAAAAGACACATACACACATGAACATACATACACACACTCACTGAAACCGACTCGCCCACACATGAACACACATACAAACAAACACGCACACACATACGAACTGAAAAAGACACACGCACACACATGAACATACACGCACTGAAACAGACACACACATATACGCATGAACATACACACACGAATACACACACAAACTCACCCCCCCCCTCCACACACACAGACTCACGCACTTTTGTTTTACTTAACGTTGCTAGGCACCGTCTCCCGTCCAACACCTCTATGACACATTGGTCTACTCTAATGATTTAATTTGTAAATGTTTAACACACCATGTGAAAACACACTACCCTTATAAGATTGCTACAGCCTTATAGTAACATGTTCTTTCACCTATTTTATGCTCAAAGACATAATGGGAAAGCCAGGTGTCAACGCATTCATCATGTCGATCTAAAAGCTGAAATGTTAGAACAAAAATCGTAAAAAACAAATTCAGTATACAATGTATCCATGCTTATGTAACCCTACAATGATACCCCCCCCCCCCCTCAAATCCG